ATTATGCAAGGCCTTTCTTCCTAGCCAACAAAAAGCTTCTGGCAAAAGACAAGGTGGTTTTTTTCGCTCCATGACACCATGAACTGCTTCCTAATGTGCCTGGGATCTGGTTTGCATTGAAGTCTTAAAAAGCTTCCAACGCTGCTCTTAAAACAGTGCACCAAAGAGCAGTGCCAGCCCCACTAATGAAAGACCTACATCATCTTAACTGGAATCCCTGCCTTTGGCCCTCTGCTACAGTCAATGTGCAAGTCAAACTATTTTCACAACATCCACACGTTGGGAAAACCGAAACCCAGGGCTGCTTGACTTCAAGTCCCACCCTGCCGTTTTCAGAGCATACAGCACATCACACATTTAGGGTACAGCCTCCCACTGACTTCAGCTGCAGCTCAGAGGGCCAAATACAAGTGCAAATCAGAGCCCAGACCTAAATGAGGTTTCAAGAACTCAAGGAACACACAGTTTGTGCACAGCTGTGAAAAGGCAGATTTAAGAGATCGCGATCACAGAAGGACTCCGTAGTAAAAATTTAAAAAATCCCCAAAGCGAAAAAAAAACAACCCTCCTTCAGCCTAACACAGACTAAGAGCAATTAACATCTGGTGAAGTTATCAGGAATAAGAAATATGATCTTATCACAGGAAACACCATGCAGTCTCAACAGAAGACAGTGCTGCCAATAATTGTAGATGTATGAAACTAAACCACATGTGATTAGCCATGTGCAAGTTACCAGCCAAGGGCTCTAAACTACTATATTAACCTTGAGTCAGCTGTTTGTGATGCAGGGAAGAGGGAAAAGGAACCAGCAACCCTGAGAAAAAATTAGTAACTCTAAAAATACCAATGCTACCTTAAAAGACATGAGGGCCCTGTGAAGAGTATTGGATGCTCATAATAAAATAAGCCTGGAAATTCAAGCCAGGTGTACAGAAAAAAAGTTCTTGATTTATTGAGACTCCTCTAAATGAGTAAAAAAAAAGTTTGTTCTTGAAACCTCATTTTCCTTCAATGATTGCTTTTAAAAGCAACCGAATCACAGTGGGAAAAGAAAGCTTTGCATGCTGGCTTTTCAAGTGCATAACTACAGGGGAACTACTTACAGGAATAACAGCATAAACTGTATCTTTTGCAGAAAAATACTGATTCCATATCTGTAGGAAACCAAGAAGATGAGATACAGTTAAAATACAGAATCTAGCAGTAATACCAAATGTTTCAGAATGTCAACTAACCTTTGTAAGCACTTTGAGAAGTCATTTTTCAATCAAGCCTGACTGAGTTTCTTGCTAATGCAATACACGCCTCCAAAGGTTGCAGAGTACTTGTACCAAATGACAGATTTCAATCAGGTAACAGAAATCATCAGTGGGCTCAAGATGTATCAGCTTTCAGAAGTGCTTCTTACATTCTTCTCAAATACCACACTAATGATTTCTAGAGGGTTTGAGAGGTGAGGGTTTTTTGGTGGTTTGTTTTGGTTTTGTTTGGGTTTTTTTTTAATAAAGAACATACAAAACATTTTCAACAGAAAACAAGTCTTTGCATAATGCTCCTCTGTGTTGACAATCTTTTTCTCCACCACAGCAGGATGGCAATACCTATACAGAAAATCATAGTTCCTAAGCACAGGTAAAAGTCTAGGGTTCAGGACTTTTCCAGTTGCTCTTCCCCAGTCCTACATAACTGACGAGAATTGTCAGCAAAATTTTTAAGCAATGAAACAGAAACAGGGTAAAGAAAATAAAAGATCTAACCCAAGCCATATCAGAGACATGCAACAGATATGACTTTTAACTAGATAAAAGGGAATACACTACAAAGCCAAGCAGGTATTAGGGAGGGCAATTTGATTTACACTGTTCTTCAAACAAACCGACTCACCCTGCTCCTCCTTACCCTAACCAACTCTAGTATGAGTACACAGGCTCCCAGGTGACAGATAATGCAAACAAAGGTACAAAGTGGCAAAAGCTTTGGTTTTACTCATGCAAAACAGATGTACAACCATCCACACGAGCTACTACTAGGATTTCCCTTTACCTGGCATTAACCCTGACAGGAACTTGCTAATGCCAATTCAACTGCTACACAGTAAATAGCAACAGTAAGAATTACAATAGAGACTGGTTTTGAGTCAAGTCTAGATGTATTATAGATGTATTATTTATCAAGTAGGATAAACAAGAGGTACATTCTAGAAGGACTTACCTAGATGGATAAAACTTTATCTTCTTCTATTGATATGCATGTGAATATGCTTTTTATAAATATACATCCATAGCTGTGTTTCATTTTTCAGTCTAAGTAAAATTTCCATCCTTACATGTAGATGACTATTAAGCACAGACGTGAAGCAAACCTTATTCCATTTAAATCCATCACCTGTTTTATCTCCTCCGCTGATTTTTCTTTCACCATCTCAACATTAAGAATTGAGTCAAGTGTCTGCAAGAGAAAGTATAAAGAATTTGGCACGATGGCAATTCTCTGATTCATGTAAGAATCTAGAATTAATGGATGCAACTATAGTGAACAAAATCAAACTAGAGGAACTTAATTCAATGTCCCTTCCTAACACTTAGGTTCATTTCCCTTACCTTATCCTTCGTGAATCCTCCCTTTGATGTCTTCGTGCCCAAGCCTTCTGCCTACAAGAAAACATTCTTCTTTAGTTTTACAGCTAATGCCTTAATATCATTTATTTGCCTTCCCTGCCAATCATAACACGGCTGCTGACAAAAATCTCCTGAGTGGGAGCTTAAGTTTCAGATATTTGAAGATTGCTGCAGCGTATTTTTGATAAAATAAATGACTGATTAAGTTAAATAAATAACTTAACATTAATTATGAATTTCAAGGCCAGAAAGGATTAGTTTAAAGCAAACTATTATGCATTTTTGGATCCAATACTATTGAACAGATTTTTTGCATTCACTGAAAAATGATAAATGGAAGACGGTGTCACTCCATCTTGTCAAACTGATCTGGAACTAATTAAACACTTAAACAAGACATCAGCAGGGAATTTAGAATCTAAAAAATAGCAAAATAATACACTGGAATACAGAACAATACTTTTAGCCATCACACAATGAAATTCCAGGGCTCCTATGAACCGGAACGCTGAAAGTTTGTAACATTATGCTGAACCCATATAAATAACTTTATAGCTTTAATGTATGTGATTCACAAAGAAAATTGGCCTTGCCTTTTCTTCCATGCACCTGATAAATTCTCCTTGTTTGGAATATCCCACAGGCTGCTTTTTCACTTCACTTCTTTTTTCCATACGGGATTCAAACACATCTGGACTGGATCTGAATTGGAAAAGGGACTATTAACAGTATAACGGAACCACAGAACATCTTGAGATGGAAGGGACCCGTAAGGGTCATCCAAGTCCAACTCCTTGGAGCATAACTAGACATAAATTAATATAACTAAAACATTTCAGTTTTCAGTTATGACAATAAACAGGAACAATCACTGCAGTGTTAAGAAACTGTCAAAGCTGTTGCACAACGTATCTGCTGAATCTCCTATGACCCAAGGCTTTGGATTTCAGTTTTTGGCACTGGATTCCAAGGAGGCCGGGTTGGATGGGGCTCTGAGCAACCTGGTCCAGTGGGAGGTGTCCCTGCCCACGGCAGGGGGTTTGGAACTGGGTGATCTCTAAGGTCCCTTCCAACCTAAACCATTCCACAGTTCTACCGATTGAGCTTATGAAGTCTTTTGCTTCATTTATTTTTGTTGTTAAGTAAGGTGACCCACCTTTATCAGGATAATTCAAAGCCATGATTCTTCTATGGGTTGTTCCAGTTGAGGCCTTTCCAACAAATGGACTTACACCCAAAATAAGACCAGCTTCTACCTACTAATTTTCTGTTCGAATCTCCCTTTACAGTATGACAAAAGACTAGAAGCTGGAATACTCTTTGCCTGCTCCAATGGTTTCCAAAGGTGGAAAGCCATGCTGGGTGATTAACATCATTTGGCCTTTTTAAATGCTTACTGTGGTATTTGATTCATGTTCCTAACTTAAAATTTTGGTTTTTTTTTTTAGCAAAACTATCTCTTACTAAGCTGAGCACGTCAGGAGACCGCCTGGGTATGGACAACATCCCTGACACCAGCAACTCCCCCCAATTTGCCTCTTATTTTTGGGGTGCCTCGCCCAATTTTTGGGGGTCCCTTACACTTAGGGGATGCCCAGGATACTGGGGAGAACTCACAGACTTTAGGAGGACCCCCCCGGATGTCAGACCCCTCCAATTTTTAATGCCTCACCATGGGATGTTCAGGACACTGAGACAACCCCACTGCTAATCTCTCTTTTCCTTCCCCAAATTCTGGGGTTCCCTCACCCTTAGGGACTCCCAGGATGTTGGGGAGACCCCCAGGATTGGGGGGGACCTCCAGGATGTTGGACCCCTCCTCTCAGATTTTACTGTCCCACTGATCTCCCTTTTCCTCCTCCCCCGAGATGACACTCGCTGACTCGGTGCCAACCACACGTGAATTTCAAGGCAGCCATAGGCCTAAACTGATCAATTTCCGCATGAGGGCGTAACTCTAAAATATAAGGACCTCCCTCTTTTTAAAAAAAGAAACCTAGCTCTCTTTGCCCAAAAAGCAGCTCCCCCACCCAGCTTTCCCCCTGCCCCCTTCCCTCAGCGCCGCCTCCCCCGCCCCGCACCTCCGCAGCTCCTGGATCTTGTGGCGGTACTTCCCGTAGAAGGGGTTCTCCTCCAGCGCCGCCTCTCCCGATCCCGCTCCCGCTCCCGCTGCCGGCCCCAGCACGCCCCGAGCCGGCGGTGCCAGCAGCCCGAGCGGCCGGAGCGCGGCGCGGCTCCTCAGGGCAGCCCCCAGCCCCCAGCCCTGGGCCAGCGGCCCCGCCATGGCCGCTCCGTCCGCCCCGCGCTGCTCCCGCCCCGCCGGCCGCCCACAGCCCGCCCCGCCCCGCCCCGAACAGGCCGGAGCCGCACGCCGGGAACGAGATTTATTTTTTTATTATTATTGGCATCAATTAAAAGTCGCGGTACGTGGCGAAGCGGAGCCCCGCGCAGGTCGGTAACCGCAGGGGGAAGGTACACGGGGGAAGGGGGTCACCCGAAACCACAAACACAGCCCGAGAACGGACCCGGGGACCGCGGCGCGACAGTGTCAGCAAAGCATCGCTCTGTTCCCGCTACAGCTCGGTGTCACCGCTTCGTTTCTTTTGATTTCAGACAGACACCGCTGTTTTCTGCAGGACGTGCTGCCCGCAGCTTTCGGCCGCCCCTCTGGTACCGCCCCAGCAGCAGGCACGGAGCTGATCCGGACAAGCGTATTAACTACACTCGTGGCTTTTGTGCCCTCTGCCATCTGCAGCGTGAATAAACACGGGAGAGGAACCCTTGCCAGCGCCCGGCGTCAGGGCTTTGGGAAGCGTGCGGGATGGAAAGTGGTGGCAGGATGGGACCGGTGCCTCCCAGCTTGCTTGCAGCACGAAAGCGACCGCCGTCCTCGGGGATGATCAGATTTTGTCTAATTGACAGCACAAGTCCACCCTACAGCAGCACTGACTACAGCGAGCAGCAGTCGAGTACGCTCTCGACATGCAAGTTGAGCAGCATCCCCGGGCAGCTGTGTCCCAGGCCGATCGCTGCCCAGCTCGGCTCCCGGGGCACAGGCAGGGGAACGGCACACATCATGTCTAGCTGACAGTTTTCATCGCTGCTGTTGAAGAGCCTTCTAAAAGTAAAGCAGACTGCAACAAAACAAAACACTAATAAGATTCACACTGCGATAACCGTAAATCCCCCTAAATTTTAAGGTAAGTTAAATTTCATACAAACAAAACTTCCAAAAATATTCTGCAAACTCCGGCATATGGCTATGATACAGTATGTACAAATAAAATATCAGAATGGTTAAATTTTATTGCTTTTTTTTTATTATTTGGTTGAGGAATTACACAGTAGTGTATAAAAGGGTGTGGGAAGCAGCAAGAAGCAAGTGTTGGCTTCTTGCCCTTTCTAAAGCCAAGGTTGGTTGGTTTGGTTTTGTTTTTAAATACTGCATTTTCAAACGTCACATCAAAAGCATTTTGGTATTGGGTGACATCGGCATTACCCAAACAGGATAGAAGAGCAACAGTGAAAGAAGCCTAGGAAATGGATAACAGGGCTCCATTTTGTACATTCCTTTGCTGATTCATACTTCCAGAATACAATTACTGATAAAACATCCAGGCTTAAGTTATATAAAAGTCAACAATTGCAAACCAACTTCCACATAAACTGATGTTTCAGTGAGGTGGGCAACTTCAATTCACTAATCATGCAAGAAACTCTTAACCAGATCAGTGATATTTGTGAGCAAAATCACCCAACTTGGCTCTGATACAGCCTGCAAGTGAGAATCCCCTCTGCAAAAGTAATTTTTCTATGTTCCAGAGGTTTACAAATATACTCTGTGCTTAGATCCAAACTGATCTTTAAATTCCTCTATAGTAATTCTCACTTACAAACCGGGTATCAGTACAGAATGATGCACATGCCTACCCTGCTTTTTACATCCTTCTGTCGGCAAGGACACAAAAAATAAAGGTACCAAGAAGTGACCAGACTTCCAATAGTCAGGAAACAGCTCACGAATCTAGTCTGGGCCTTCCCACCTGCTCGCACTCCTGGAGTGTAGCAGTGCAGTGCTGAAGCACAAATTGTTCAGGAGCTACTCAGCAGGCTGCGCTGGAGGCTTTTACCTCTTAAGCGTCTGATAAAGCTATTCAATATGTTCATTTTAAAAAAAATAAATAGACAGGCTCATCTCACAAAATATAATCTGGATGCAGCACAGCAAAGCTTAAAGAATGCTGAAGTGAAAACCCAAGCACTCGGCAATTTAATTGTTCCTGTAGGCTTATGATATAAAAACACTTTCAACTCCTCCCTTTAAAAATACATCCTGCTATCGATGGGCATGACTTACCCCTCCTGCTTTCCTCTGACTGAGGCCAAACTCATTCACGGATTTACTTAGTCAAAATCAGAAATTCAGCTGAAGCTCTTAACCACCCATTTCAGGCTCAGTCTCTCATTATAAACCACTTACTACCAACACAGCCCCTGACACAAACTTCCCCTTAAATATGCATAATTTACTCTATCTCAAATATTTACAGGCAGAAGCAGCCCATCTTCACAAGACAGATTTCCTTCTGCTCTTCATAAAGTGCAGCTCTCTAATTTAAGGCAAATTTCAGTGAAATATAAAACCATAGTTTTATTTTAGTATGTACACATTTTAAATTAAAACCAAGAACTCCTTTGAAAAGGAAAGAATTAGAGGAAAATGTTTCCAAGTTCGGGAATTTTCTGGATTTTAACACAGTCCCAATAGTATGTCCTATAGACATATAAACTTGTAAATTTCTTTTCAATAAATGCAAATGAAAAAAGGTGTCAATGTGTACAGTAATTTAGCTCCACAGATCAGTAAAACACTGGGAAAGTGCAGACGTAGTTTTTTCATGTCCTGTAGCTTCCTTTAGCTACAGTAACATCCACCAATATCAAATTTCTAAATATAGATATCCTATACACCTAATGCTAATCTCAGTTCTGTTAGCGTGTATTTCTCATCTCCATCTGTGTCAAATTCCTTAAAGCTCTGTGACTCTTGGGCTATGGAGCCAAGCAACGTTTGAAGATCTTCATATGTGAGTTTCCCATGAGCATCTTCAGGTGCTTTTTCAAACAGCTTCTGAAGATCTGCAAAGAGAACAAGGATTGAGAAGTAGCTCCTTTAAGTACACAGGAATATCCTTTAAGCTGCTTTCCCAGTTTTACAGCACTCGAGTCTCACTACCCAGTAATTAAGTACAGCGTCCCTGAGTGTGGAGTTCACCTCCTGTGTTGTCACAAGCTGTTGGTAACAGTTTGGGAGAAAAAAGCATGAACATTTCTGGATTAAATTACACTAAATCTGAAAAAAAAGTAATCCCTATTTCTGGTAACAACTAGCAGCCCATTTTACAACCACTAACGGCATACAGATGCAGTTCTCCTCCACAAAAGCAAGCTCTGAATGACTGTTGCCATACCAACACTACAGATGATATAAAAGGAAAAGTGTCTATTCACTTCCTGATGCAAAGAGTTGCCCTTTCAGTGGCTGAAGAGACTGAACAGCAAGATCCAGAAACCATTCATCTGACCAGGCAGAGTTCTCTTAAAACAATTAATAGAGAAAAGAAAAAAGCCCCAGAACATACACACTCATATCTACTTCTTTTTCCTTCAATCACACCAATTCTGCCCTTGACTTCTCTCCCAATCTCTGGGACACTTAATACAATACTTTGGTAGTCAAAACATTTATAATTCACTTATATTGCACACTCCTGCTTAAATCTCAGTTTCTTTCCTTTTACATGCTGCTCTTTCCTTTCAGTTGGTTTTTGGGTTTTTTTAATTCCTTTGTTTTTTTTAAAGCCCATAGTTCTCAAGCTTTAAAAACTGACCTCACTTTTCCCAGAATGCTTACACTTATCATTTCCTAAATATTTACATGAAATATTCAGAAAAAAAGGTCAGCCTAGAAAGGACATACCTTCGATGCTGGAAATTCCTGGTAAGGACAGATGGCTCGGCTGCCCATTACTCTCTGTGTTGTCACCAGCTGACCTTGAAGTCAGCCTTGAAAGGTCTGTGGGCTTTGCTGTAGTACTCGGACTACTTTCAACTGTTACAAAACAACTTCTATTAGTCTTACTAATTCCACAGAATTACAGTTAGCAAAACCAAACAAAAATGCAATAAAACTGAATTTTTTTTTTTTTTTTTGCATCACAGATGCTGTATGGGATAGGAATGCTGCAAAATTATTTCAGAATACAGAAGTGTTGTCCTCTTTTACCAATAACTGAAAGAAGAATTTTAGGACACAGCCTTTATCTTTCATCCTGTACTAGGAGATGTGTATTTGTAAACTCCCATACAACGAATGACTTGGAAGTGTTTCCTGCTTCCCACTCTGAGGGTGCTGAGGAAGCTTTATTAAGCAAATTACACCTGCCCCCCTAGGTTGTTTTCATCTTATCAAGCAAAACCAAGTGTTACTGGGTATAAAGTTCTACAAGTTAATCTCTTTGTGCCTTCAAACACAAGATGCTGATGTGAATCCTGCCATACACACAGAAAATCACCTTCAAGCTTCTGGAGTCATATACAGTTTTCTGTACCACTTTAACCAAAATAACCTTCATCAAAATCTTAAGGAATGGTCTAAATTATCCACCTTCATTAGTTATCCTTTGAGTTACACAGGGAACCTTCAGTATTTACTGTTGCAAGACATTCTTACCATTCTTTGTTGTCTCGATGGGTCTGTCATTTTCTGGCTTGCCTGTGAGAGCACTGATCAGCTGAAGCGTCTCTCTTAGTTTTGATACCTGAGAATCTCTAGTTCCTGTTTCCTGTATATGTAAAAGGGAAAAAAAAAATCTTAAAAAGTACCCCCTTCAGTAGAGGCAGACAATCAGGAAAGGTAGTAATTTAAAATATGCAAGCAAGTTTGAGTGACTGATCCAGGCTGATGAAGTTTAAAATAACAAACAAGATTTAAAAACAAAAATAAACAAACAAAAATCAATGAAGAGATGCTAGGAATAAATTCACATGGTCTGTAAGAGAACAACAGAATCAGTACCTCAACCTGAAAAACAGACAACTATTTTGCAGTCACTGATTTCAAAAGAATCTGACATTTAGTTCCTATATTCCCTATAGAAAAGGACAAGACATTGAAAAACAATAATATGAAATGGTCAAAAATACTTGGAGTGAACATTTATACATGAATTGAATGTCTCAAAATTCTTTCAGCTGCATGAAAGGACACTACAGCAGCTCAGCTGTGCTGTCCCACACGTAGCCAGAATGGCAAGACTTTAAACTGTTACAACTTCTCTTCCATCCTAATTGACTTCCTGTCCCCAAAAGGGGCGGGGTAAGCTGTCCTACTCTGGACTTCTAAAAAGCTGAGCAGACTGTTTGCAGACCTTTGCTCAATTAAAGTTCATTTCAAACATGATTAGAAAGACAATTACATGCTCTGCTAATCCAGCATAATTTGCATTTCCTTACTTTACCTTCAGTTCTGTATTTGACTGAGTTTCACTATCTAGTTGCTCTTCATTTTCTGCTTTTGGAGAGGTAGTTGCATCATTCCCCTGCAAAAAAAGAACAGAGCAGAATTTATGCATTTGCTTTTTATTTTCTACACAGAGGTTCTTTCCTTCAAATTTGGCAGGCATGAAGCAGGAAAAAACCAGGGCAGATACCTGCTAGAATAAACATGAAGTTATAAAAATGGGTTATGTAATTTACCACAGCAACGTCAGCACCTTCCTTTATTGCTAAATATACAGAACATATTCTCACTGACTGGCCCCAGTATGGCATACAGAGGGCAGTGGAAGAATTTATGAACATATCTAGGGGGTTTTTATTGTTTGTTTGTTTGGTTTTTTTAGAATTTAAGCACTGTTGAACAATGCAGAACCCCACCTAGCTCCTCAGTGGTCTTAACAGACCTATGCCAAAGTGATTTCTAAAACACAGCTGGTTTTGTGAATCCTGCCCCATGAAGCAATCACCCAAGTCTTAAATGTCACAGCGTTTTGGACATTTTTCTGTAGAATCTGCAGGGCAGAAATGACACACTGCTTCAGAGATACTCCTAATGCTGGCTATCTGTTCAGAAATATGGAATGCATTCCAGCCTTTTACAATGAAATCCTCAGTATCCCAGGTCTCATTCTGACATTTTCTTTAGTTAGGTCTGAAAAGCTGTATCTGCAGCGTAAGGAAGGTATTAAAACTACCTCAGCCATCAAATACTTACCACGCTGGTAGACAAGTTCCCTCTTTTGTCCAGGTTATTCACAACAAGGGGAGAGTTTTCCAACAGCGTAACCTTCCGGCTGAGGTTGCCAATGGCTGAGTCCACGTTTAGAAGCCTGATGTCATTCGACTTTCGGAAGGCCACCACGGTGTTGTTCAGCTCTTCCAGAGCTGCCTGCAGTGCCTGGCTTTCCTGAAACATAAACCCAGCACGTGTCAGTTTACTCAGCCTCGGCAGCAGCGCCCCTGCTATTAACAACATGACTGACCCAGTTTAGCTGGGCAGACTTCAGGCCGGCTCTCCACCGATGAAAACATCCAGCTGGAAGTTTCCAGAAAGTTACTCACAACTTTCAAAGCTTGAAAATGAGATTCTTCCTCGGGTTGCAACCTTCCCCAGGTTGCAACCTTCTTCCCTAGCAACCTCTTAGTTGCTAGTGTAATCACTTCAGCTGTGCCAGCGGACACAGAAAGCCCATTCATCTCGTTTTCCAGGTCAAGCTTTGTAAGCACACCAATCGTTTTTCCCCAGAAAACACGTACTGGGCATATTTATACACAAGATTCACTTTTGAGGAAGATATTGACTGTATTAAATGTAAGCAAGTGCAGTCATTCAGTTCCAACCCATTCAGCTAAAAGCCCACACATTAACCTTTTTTTGTTGTTGTTGATGAATTACTGCTTTCCACATCTCTTTACATTGAGGGTGACTCAATATGTGCCACTCCCAAATTTGCTCAGATTAGCAAATACCTGCCATAAAACCCACTCCATGAGCCTTTAACTCGTTTCCATTTACATTAGCAAAGTACACCTACATTTTGTCAGATATTGGTTTCAGTCTTTTTACTCCTCACTCAGTCAGGACACACAAAAAAAAAAATACTCTTAGACCAGGGCACTTTCCTGTTTGCACATCCACAGGAACAAACTACAGCAAAATTATCTCATGCTTTGTTTTGAAGGATGCTATTTGTATTGTTTGATAAAAACCATACATTTTGCAGACTACAGTACTGTGAAACACGCAGGTAAGTGACATGTCCATGACACTTGTACCAAAATTCCTTATGCAAGGGAGGAAAATACCTTTTTGCAATTTTCTGTCTGATTTGCCTCAGTCCTTGGCACAACAGTGGAGGGAAGTGAAGGCATCTGTTTTAATTCCTTCTAAGGAAAGAAGCAGAAAATTATGTTACCAAATGCCTGTAAATAAGCTTTTAATAACTGGCAGACTGTTGCTAAGGATGTTTTGCTACAATTATAGCCATTCATGTGTGTTGTGCATGCAGTATTTTAACTAGGCTAATTAGAATTTTCTCTTTCAAACACATAAAGTCCAAATTTATTTTTATTAAACACTCCTAATTAGCTCTTCTTCCTTTAATGAAGTATTATGGTACACATTTTCTGCCATACACGCTGCCGTATCTCCAATGTTTTTGTAGAACCCAGAGACTGAATCAAGCTTTATTATGTGTCTAATTTAGATTTTTTTCTGGAAGAATTAAAGTAAGGCTGTATTGCAGTTTAGCTGAGAATCTGTAATTATTGGCTTAGTTTGTTAACCCCCAGTGAGAGGTCAGTATAAATACAGCAAGTAGTTTTTGGTAAGGACAGTCAGTAATTTCAGCTGTATATGCATCCTTAATTCAACCAACAAACTATCTCAATTTTCTGACCATCCTCAAAGCCAAAACAGTGCAGACAGTTACCATAAGCAGTACCCTGCAAAGTTTCCCAAGGCTCCACATCTGAGGAGTAGGAAGCAAAAATACACAGAATAAGAAGTGCAGTAGGGAACAAAAATTCTGGCTACAGAGAAACGTTATTTATTCTTGGTACCATATAATAGGTGACACACAGGGATTGGAAGATCACCCAATTAATGTGCCAACCTACTGAAACCTCAAAAGTATTTTGAAGGCTTAAGGAAAACTCCACACAATTCTTTAACTTTCTTCGTATTAGTCAGGTAACCATTAAAACAGTGATAAATCAGTACATTTTCTTACCACATCATTCTGGAGTATTTCTATGGATTTCTTGTATTCTTCAATAGCTGTCTGTATATTTTCAACATCATGAGCCACACTGGTAAGAGTGCTACCTATGGTTGCTACAGTCTGCAATAAAGCAGAGGACAGAAATCTCAGCCTTCCTCAAACTGCACTGTCCCAAAATTCCAACCTGCTAAACACAAGGTATTTTTAGTGAAACTGCAGGCAGCCTGCCACAAAAATATGCAGGTGAGCTCTTTGCACTCAAAACTGCAAATCACTTAGGTTGGAAAGGATCTCTTGAGTCCAACCATTAAACCAGCGCTGCCAAGTCCACCACTAAACCACATCTCCAAGTTCCAACTCATGCACTTTAAATACCTCCAGAGGCGGTGACTCCACCACCTCCCCATGCAGCCTGTTCCAATGCTTGACAACCCTTTTGGTGACAAAATTTTTCCCATTATCCAACTTAAATCTCCCCTGGCACAGCTTGAGGCCATTTCCTCTTGTCCTATCACTTGTTACTTGGGAGAAGAGACCCATCCCACCTTGCCACAACCTCCTTTCAGGTAATTGTAGAGAGCAGTAAGGTACTCCCTGAGCCTTCTTTTCTCCAGGTTGAGCCCACCCCAGCTCCCTCAGCAGCTTCTCATCAGACTTGTGCTCCAGACCCTTCACCAGCTCTGCTGCCCTTCTCTGGAAAATGTTCCAGCACCTCAGTGTCTTTCTTGGTAGTGAGAGGCCCAGAACTGGACTCAGGATTTGAGATTTGGCCTCACCAGTGCTGAGTACAGTGGGACAATCACTGCCCTGGTCCTGCTGGCCACACTGTTGCTGATACAACAAGCCTTAAGACTTACTTCTGTTAGGACACAATGAAAATCCAGCATGCTTACAGCAGCAAATTAGAAGCTTAGGAAACAGCTTTGTACTCCTCCCAGAAAAAAAGAAATCCTGGCAGCCCAATCAGCCAAACCACACTTAATTGCTTTGCATATCACTAGCTTGTTGATCATACATTAATTTTGTAGGGATAGGAAATGAGACATGGAAACCCATAATACCACAAAGCTCACATTAGACCTTAGCCAAATATAAATGCTTATTGCTAAATAAACAGAGCTGCCATGGAAGAGCCAGGCAAGTATCAACAAGCCATTCTTTTTACCAAAATAAACAGGACAGTTCTTGGTAAAGAACGCTCAGCTAAGGCACATGGTAAGACATTGTATTAAGAGAGAGCAATCAATTTTCTTTTCCAATTAAAAAAGCTAAAAAAACCCAGCTACTTGTAAACAGTTATAAAACTGCAGACAGACACTTCCATGTGTCTTAAACAATATTAAGATTAGCAACTTTAAGTAAACAGAAAGATCAGCTCCAAGGTAAAGATGTGACAACATAAGACAATGCATCTCCAAACAAATGCATCTCCAAAGGGGATAAATAAGGCCTTCAAATTTTTTACCTGCCATGTATTATCACAGGACCATACAATATCAAGTATATGAAGTCAAATTTTAAGGACAAGGGAAGCAAATATTCCTTGCATGCAAATCAGGTAGCTCTTGCTGTCACTGCTGTCCCCAGGGGCCCAGCTGCAGATCAGCAGCACAGAACACATTTAGTGACAGCTATATTTACAGTGCTTACCTTCTGAAGTTTCTCTACTGTGAGAGGAAGAGAAATCAGATCAGCAGCAGACTTTATGTTGTTTTTGAGATGATTTACTGTTGAGGTCAATAGTGATACCTAAAACCAAAAGGGAATACTTAGAATCAGGCAACATAATCCTGATTCTGACCTTCCCCAATACTAGTGACCTAATGTGTAACATTAAAACATAAGGTAATACAAAAACATATATGTACACACACAAAACACCTCTCTCTCTAGAAGTCCTGCCTAGGCTACACTAAAATATTCTGCTTCTTGCAAAACAGGAAGTTTTTATTTATTTCTTTTTTAAGTTGAATGAAAGCCATAGAAGCCCCTTCTTTTCCATATGGTACCCTCTGCCAATTTCACACTCATCCTCTTAGAGAGAGGCTGTTGCCCAAGAAAGACTTAAAGACTGTGCAAGAAATCCTTACATGGAGGAAACAGTCATCCACTTATGCATTTAGCAATCAAACCTCCCTGGCAGAACCCAGTGAAGCCACACAACTTCTCTAGTCGAGTGACGGGCAAGGAAGTTGCACAGATCACCCAAACCTTCTGCTGCAGAAGTGGAACAGTGACAACCTATGCACAGCAGGTTAGCTCAGTTTCTGTCCCCTGATTGTCCCTGACAGCAAGTTATTCAATGCATCTTCATGATTACTTGTTCATTCCAACCTAGAGGTTGTCAAATAAATTAAAACTGCGTGCTAGTCATTCATCGCTAATGCTCTCACTTCAAAATCAATTTGTAGCAGTCAGTAGTCAAAATGAAGAGAAATGATTTCTTCTCACATTGGACAGCACAAAGGTGAAGTGGATAAAATCCACTTTCTTCTGGTTAAAAAAAGAAAAAAAAAGTTGTTTCACAAGTTGAGGAAATGAGAAAGGTTTTAATGTTGCATTAGGTCAATATAGATCAGCTGGCATGCAGACTCTAGTTCCACAGCTGTAAATATTGGCTGAGACTATTCCCAGCAGCACATCCCAACAATTCATGGAAAAAACCCAAGTAACTAGATTTTGAACCCCAGAAGATCTGGCTCAGACTGTAACCAGACCCTGAAGTAACTTGAGGGCCTGCATGGACCACGTGCAGGTATCTTTAACATGCAGGTGCAGATAAGAGCATTTTCAAAGTCCCATGAAGCACCCAAATAACTGTGGATAAAGCAGACTGTCAGATGCCAAAGAAAGCAAATCAAGTTTTTCAGATACACTTATGCACCTGAGCAGGCACCTCAGTGGTCCTAAAAATGAAACCCCAGAGCACCTGCGTCAAGGAGGGTTCCCCACACACACCTCCTGCCACCATTCACCGTGAGCAGCTCTGAACTTTTACCCTCTGGGGCAAACATTTCAGCAAGAGCCTGGCTGGATGCTTCATTTGAAGGGTGAGTTAATAGAGCAGCTCTATTAAGGAAACAGCTCTCTGGTAAGTGGCTTAGTTCTAGCAGTGTCAACAGTGCCAAGATTTACACCAGCTCAGGGTCTCAGTGTGTGTCAGCAGACTTCATATTCACCACTTCCTCGCTTGCAGCAACAGGAGCTTGCACTGAGCCAGGTAACTCTTACAAAACACTCTCAGAAATTTGAAATGTCAAATCTCTCATCGTAAACATCACAACTGTTTGGCAGGAAAATTGAGAATTGCAGAGATCTGAGGTTCTTTTAAATTCTGCCTCAAGTCTTTGTGCCAGTTACGCAATTTCTCCTCTTTGTGATCAGTCTCCAGCCCAGCTGGATGCTCAGGCTGTTTTTTGCTTGTTTAATAGTGAGACTTACACTCTATTTTAACTTTAAAAACAGAAGTTTAGCATAAGGTCACAGTAGTCTGTAGATAAAACCTCAGCACTGCACTTAATTTCTGGGAAAAAAAACTGAAAGGAATATTTTATTATTTTCTACAAGCAAGCACTGATCCCTCTCACCTGTTTACTGATCTCTGTGATATTTATCCAAATTTTATTCAGCCCCAGTTCTCCAGTCTCAATTTGTTCTAGCTGCTTTTGGTTCTGCACCAGATCTTCATTCAGCTTAGGAATTTCTTGGAATGATGTCTTTTGATTAGATTCCACTAAAAAATGAAAAAATAATGAAATATGTTTAAAAAAACAAAACAAAATTTCTGGGTAAGCAATGTTGAAAGGCAGAAAACAAATTACAAACAGCAACATCTACAGCAGTGAAAGAAGGTAATAAGTGTCCATATATGGGTTTATTGCCAATTCAGGATTCAGTGACGTTCAGTGACAGCTCTTTTTTGTTTTAAGAATACCAATATCTGCAGAGAGAACCTAGAGAGACAGTACTAAATTTAACACTTTGCACAGAACTGTCATTCTGACAGCCCTCAGCAGGTCTTTATTTAGTGCAGTTATTTTGCATTACCTCCACAGGGGAGCATGAAATAGTAGTGGGCCTCTGAATAGGAACTGCCCACTGTCCCAGAGCAGAGGAGGCAGGTGAAATGAACCTCAGCGCCCTTTCCAAGCCTGCAAAGGGGCTGCTGACGATGAAGTAAATTCCAAAGAGATTAATGTGATTACAGTTGCTCTGTCTGACAGAGAGGCAACTGAAAAAATAAGGTATAATCTTATACACTAATGCCTGTTGGTAAACAAATCAGGTCCTTGGAAATAAAGTCAGTTATTACTGCAATTAATACTATAGGAAGAGGGAAACGTGAAGCTCAAAGCAGCTCAAGTGAGCCTCAGAAATGCAGCCCTTCCAGATCTGCAGTGACTAAGCTGTTTAGCTGTAAGCGCTGTTAGGCAACCCCAAATCCCCAGGTCTGAGGAACAAATAAGCAAAGGTTTTGAGGAGCAAATGAGAGTTCCCCAAAATCCACACCTCCACCCCGTAAGGCAGCACTGGAACGCTCCACAGCAAGCTGCCACCGTTCAGAACAGCCTGGCAGGAGCAGTGGGACCTATGTGGTATGTGGCTGGCAGCGCCCAGAACACATTTCCATCTGTGACCCATCCAGTCAAAAGGGGAAGCCTGTGGAGTGGATGCCCGAACACACACAACTGGAAAGCTGTGCACCTTCAAAAAAACACTTCGCTCCTCCTGAAGGAAGTTCTAAATGTACTTTCTAGGTTCAGAGTAATCTGGTCACCAAAGATCCAAATAACACTTTCAGTTAAATAAGACGTTGAAAAGTGCACTTTAGCCAAAACAGGCTGAGAGCTAATTGTGCTTTTGTCACAAGCAGTTCACACTGAACTTGATATTTCAGAGGCTCTTGTAGACAAATTATTTTCTGTTTTGCCACTCTCACTGTGTGCAGTGAGATCCCACAGTTTTTTGCAGTGCTAGGAAGGTTTAGTGCCACATGTTCTTAGCATCATTACTAACAACTGAAGGGAAACACCACATGACTTCCTCCCGTTCCAAACAAACCAGGTACAAAGATGTCTTGTTTTTAAAAAGCACTCATACTGTACTCAGTTTGTGCAAAGGATGGCAGAACATAACAAATATCACCACAGGAATCTGCCCTTATGAGGAGAAAAAAAAAGTGAAGATTTGGAGGAGGAAGGTTCCTTTCCCAAACCTGCTGTAGGACACATGGATCACATGCCTTTGTTGCTGTTCACCCACACATCTTACCAATGCACAGTGCTGCCTTTTGGAACCAGGTTGTTCTTGCTGTCTGCTTTTTTGTTGTTGCTTTTAAATGCTGTGCCTCATTATGAGGCTCCCATCCAACTTCTAGGCATGCTATTACAGTGGCAAGGAAATCTGACGTGTTTATCACCAGACATAGCATTAGATGCACAGCTTTTCTGTCAGAGCGATTAAGAAGAAAACAAGCCCATCTGTAACTGCCAGACAATCTGCTCAGAGAGAACAGCTGCTTTAACAAAGGGGGTCTGTGTAAAACAGGAATGATGAAACTCAGCTACGCCAAAGCCAACAAATGTTGTCCTCGTGAAAAACTTCTCCTGCCAGCACACCCTCAAAGCAGAGCAGTCCATGAAGAGCTGGCTGACCCAGAACACAAAAGAAGCCACTGCAGAGCTGCTGGGTACACTCACAGCCACAAAGCAGCACCTGGAGCTGAAGGTATCCTCCGTAACTGGTGGACAGGAATTACAGATAACTTTCAGAGTTCAGTATCAGTTAACATAAAAGCATATCTACCATCATCAGTTCTTTCTCTCACACCCAGCCAGCCTGTTCTACCTTGGCAGACAACTCCCCACCTCACAGCAGTTACACACCGGAACAGGGACACCTAAACACCAACAGCAAAAAATTTCTGCACACAATTCCTCAACACCTCTTTTACCAGAAGCAAAACAAGCCCTGTGCTTACCTCCAGCCCTAGCAGCACCTAATTTTAAAACTGATTTCACCAGCCTTATTTTTAAGATCATCCTTGTGTCCTGGGCACTTAAACTCTGAGATGAAGACCAAAGCTATGGCACAAACCTCACAGTAACAGTGGTGCTTCTCAGGTGAAACACAGCTATCCAGCTTTCCTGAAGCAGCCAAAGACTATCTGAATGCTTAAGCTTCACTCTCTTCTGCTCCATTCTCACAGCTCCTTAGCTTATCCTTGCCTTTTTCGATATATATAGGATTTTAAACACCACTAAAATAAGGCACCAAAACATACCTTATGCCCAGAGGTGAGGTACAGAGAACTAAGAGCACACCTTACATGCCAATCTCACCATCTGTTACACCACAGCACTACAGAAGTTATTCTGTTGAAATCTTACATGGACAGGGATAACCTGAGACCTAAAAGAAAAACGCCTCACATTAACTCCATACTTCAAAGTATTAAACATGATGTAACTCCAAAGCATATGCAACCTGATGTAAAAGTTATAGCAGAACAGGTCAATGCAAGCAAAAAAACCATTCAGAGGATACAGAGAGAAAACATAGTATCAAAGCAACATTCAAACTGCAGTAACACCATAGCAAGCATCAGAGGATTTTAAACACCTTCAAGACAAGAACATTGTTTTCCTTAATTTTTTTTTCCATAATTCCATAGATTGCTTTGACGCAGCTGCTCAGAACTTTTTTAATAGGGTCTTTCTTTGGAAGAGAGCACTCCTAAGACTGAAGTCAGGAATTTTGGAATGCAACTAGAGGCCCAACTAGTCCAGTGTCCCTTCTGCTCCTCAGAAGATACAGAGCAGGCAAGAATATATAACATTCACCTCAGATTTGCCAAGCCTTCAAGTGGTCCTGGTTCATAGGACTCTTCTGTTCAGAGGTAGATTGTCTACTCAGTACTTTCAGACTTTGACTGAGCAACTGAAGCTCTTCGTACTGCCCGAAGAAAATGTGAAATAGTAGTTACATTTACACTTACTAGTTCGAAACTTCTCCTTTATTGCATCCAGATCCTCCTTGAGAGCCACCTGCATCCAGACTAAGCCAACACACGCTACCACGCAAGCGGCAAGAATGACAAACGCACATAATGGGTAACAGAACTTGCAGCATCGTAGGTAATCTCCCCTGCATGAAACAAAGCAACGGGCTGTGAATACACAACAGTTCCTACAGAAGTTTTATTCTAAATGCTGTTCTAGCAAAGTGAGGAGCAAGAGTTGTAACAGCATACAGTTGGGCTGACAAGAGCTAAAAAAGAGCATTTCCAGGAATAAATAAGGCCATAAAGTGAGGTCAGGGTGGTTACTCTCTGTTCAGTTTATCCTCAGGAGGCACATCTAGCGTATTTAAAAGCAGCTGTCAGGTTTCCCCTACTAAAATTTCCTGCTCTGATCACATAAACTTATGCTAGGCACATCTGCTTGACAGCTTGGAAAACACGTTTCAAGACAGGGCATTACCATAATGTTACGACAAGTACTTCCAGAGCGTTCCAAATTGCGAAAGCCCGAGTTGCTCTGTGACATGCCTACTTTCAGCTGTTCTTAGGGGCCCATTATTAATGCTGTCACTTAACCGAGAAGGTTATTTATTGGCAAAAGCACATCGCGGCCGTGAGAAAACCAGCACTGCGCCAGCTCGCAGGACATGTGCTGAACACGCACGGGGGACTGTGCTCCACAACATCAACGCTGCTCTAAGGGCTCGACGGAAAAGAGGAAAAAACCCTGAGGATGGCTTAGTGGAGGGTGTCCCTGCCCACGGCAGGGGGTTGGAACTGGACCATCTTTAAGTCTCTTCCAACCCAGGCCATTCCGTGATTCGATGATACTTCTATCCCCCAGCCAGGCGACCTGTCGGGCCGGACACGCTCAGTGCAGCTCCGGCGTTCCCTGGCAGTGCCCAGCCTCTCACACACCCCCTTTATCCCCAGCTGCGAACCGGACCCGCTGAGGGCACCGGAGCAGGACCGTGCCGGGCCGGGACTCACTTTCCGCAGCGGCCCCGCGCCCCCGCGAACTCGTCCTCCTCGGAGCTGGACTCGGAGTCGGAGGCGGGCGGCTCGGTGCGCAGCAGCCGGTGTCCCGAGCCCTTCTTGGCGGGCTTCTTCCTGCGGCCGTCGGCGGCCAGGCCGATCAGGGCGTTCAGCTCCTTTCGCTTCTTCATCCTCTTGTGGGGCGGCGGCGCGGCCGGCGGCTGGCTCCCGCCTCCCTCCTCCTTCTCGCCCGCCGCCGCCGCCAGCGCGCCCCGGCTCGCCAGCCTGCGGCCCGGCGGCGGCTACAAGCGCTCCGCGGGGCCGCGGCTGTTGCTCCCCCGCCGGCCCCGCGGCGGCTCGCCCGGCCCCGCGGCCGCCGCCCGCCCCGCCCGCGCCATGGCCGCTCCGGCCCCGCCGCCGCCGCCTGCCAGCAAGGCGCGCTCCCACTGGCCGCCGCGGGACCGCCCCGCTCGGCGCCGCGGAGCGCGCACGGCCGCGGGTTCGAGTCCCGCCCCCGGCGGGTGGGACGAGCGGTGAAGGGGGCGGTGAGGAGCAGCGGGGGCGGACACCGGGCTGGGGAGGGACACCCGGGTGATGCAGCCCGCAGCGGTTCCGTTCCGTCCCCTCGCCCCCCCAGGCTCGGCGGGGCCGTTGCTCCCGGAGTTAAGGGTGGCGGGGAAAGCGGCGTTGCCCCTCCGCCTGCCACAGAGCCGTGCCAAAGCCGCCACGGTGCCTCGGCTTACACGAGGCATCGCCAGACCCCGCCCGGTGGCGGATTCAGTGCTCTGCCTGCGGGGGAGATGCTGTCCAGCTCGGCTCTGGGATGCTGCTCCACAGTGCCGGCAGCAGGGAGGGAGGGAAGGAAGGGCGGGCGGGAGCTTTCAGTCGAGGTGCGGGATGGGAATGGATGGAGATAAAGGTGAAACCTTGCGAGGCAGGAAGATGTGGTGAAGACCTCGGGGGGAGAAATCCCAGGGCATGGTCTTTTCCTCTCTCCTCAGCCCGCAGTCCCGGCCAGGGGCGAGCCGGTGCCAGCGGCGAGGCATCGTGGGTGGGGGCAGCGGCTTCCAGCCGGTGTGGCAGCGTTCCCGCGGGATGCTCCCTTTGCCTTGCCTTGCCTTGCCTTGCCTTCCCTCCCAACAAGCGCTGCCGTGATTTGGCAGCCGCTCGGACTCTGGACCTGCCTCTCCGCCCCGCATTGGCTGGTGCCGCCGGCGCCGCGGGGACACGGGAGGCAGCGGCGGCGGCTCTCAGCGCGGCGATGAAGCTCCTGTGGCTGGGCGTGGATGTCTCCAGGGTGCTGCACCTGGCCGCCGTGTTCTGCCTGACCTGCGTGCTGCTGAAGGCCATCCAGCTGTACCACCGGCGGCGGGAGCTGCTCCGGGCGCTGGCCCCCTTCCCCGGGCACCCCACACATTGGCTCTTCGGCCACGTCCACGAGGTGGGGCAGAGCCAGGGCTGCGCTGCCGGCGGGAAGGGGGAGTGCGGCGAGAAATCTCCCCGAGGGCCGGGTGGGGGTGATGCTGGTGGGACTTGTCCCCGCGGTCTGGGAGAATTGCTTCTCCCAGTCCGGGTGTGAGTGGGAGATGGGCATCCCTTTTATCAGCCGTTCAAACTGCTTTCTCTGCCTGTGATGCTTAGAGAGCGTGGCTCACGCACGGCTCGCTCAGGCTGCTGCGGGTTGCACGGTGGAAAGGGGTGGTGGCTGGCTGGCAGGCAAAGAAAGCGGTCAAACAGTGTGGCAAGGGCAAGGTCATCCCGGGACGTGACCCGGCGTTGGTGCTGGAGGCAGCAGAGCTGCGTTGCTCTGTCCCGGAGCAGGCTGCACTGTCACCTCTCTGCTCTTCTAAAAGCCAGGGCAGGGCCGCTGCCGCTGCCCCTGCGGCGCCGAGCTGGTGCGATGCTGAGCAGATGCACGCTGCTCCCGGCATCCAGAGGCACCTTCTGTCCCTTGCCAACTTCCATGGGCCCCACGGCCAGGGGACTCAGACAGGGCACTGATCACTGTGAGTCACGTTTAAGCCCCCAAACACATCCCAAGTGTTGCATCCAGCAGAGGGGGCGTGGATCCTTGCATTAAGGTCGTGACTGACTAAACCTACGTACATAGGTGAGCCTTGTTCTGGGTACCAGTGCCATGGATGACTTACCAACCCAGATCAGCCTGCCTGCCTTGACAAACAGATTGCCACAACTCATTGGCAGCTTCATGAGGAGTAGCTGAGCTTGCTTGATGCAAAAAGCTTTTCCATACATGCTAAAGGCTGCTTAAAATCACCCTGACTTCTGCTGGGCTCTGCTGATGTCCTGCCCAGGCCAAACCTGTGGCTCATTAAATAACTGGCTCCCTGAAAAGTATCTGGGAAATCAGGAGGGGACCTCCCAGTGCTTGTCCCCATGCCGTGGCAGCCCCAATTTTGCCATGCTGGACAGGACAGGCAGTCTTTTGGCAATGTAAACATGAAGATGGGCCAGTTCAGGGCTTTGTTACACTGCCAGTTAGACTTTAAAACTGCAATTAAATAAAGTATGTTTGTTAGTTGTGACTATTTATCCTGGAAGGGCATATAACCATTTGTGCCAACCGCTTGCTCCCTTCATGGCCAGGTTGTTCATGGCTCAAACTTTACCTCAGTATTTTTTGAAGAATTTCTCTTCTGTGAATTTAGTAATTTGTTGATTAAGTGCTGCTGAATTCCCCAGAGTCCAACAGTTCATTGAGCCAGGAAGGAAACTGGCAGTGCTCTGGGCACACACTGAATACAAAGTTTGCGTGCACCTCGGAGGAGGACCTGTGAGCTGTACTCAGGGAGAGCACTGACATTTCCTCTTCTGTTGATTTAAGTGACTATTTGACAGTTTTGATTCATATCAGGTTAAAATCTCAAACATGTTAGTCATGCATTGGGTGGATCTCCTGGGATTGCATGACTTTGTTTTTCTGCTTTAAAACAGTATCAGTCTCTGCTTATCCAAACCACGCAGTAGAAATGACATTAAAATATCAGGAGAGGTTGTGTAGAGCTGTTCAGTGTCACTGCAGCAGCACAACTTTATTAAAACCCAGAGTGCCAGCTGCGAGCTGGACAAACTGACTTCCCCTGTTCAGGATTAGTGGGAAGTTGGTTAGAGGAGAGCAGGGGGTTGTCAGTCCCTCAGCAGCCCTTTGCCCACTTGTGCCCCGTGGGGAGATACCAGCCTGGTTCTGGCTGTGCACAGTGCAGCTTTGTGCTCAGATTTCAGCTCCTGTGTTTTCTCTTTAATTTGCTATCAGAGCATAGCCATTAAAAGTGCTTTTAAACCTCTTCCCAGATGCTTTTAGTGTTGGATCCGTTTCAAAACTTACATTTCAGCATGAGATTAGGCAATTATCTTTCTTCCTTGAACGTGAGTGAAGGTTATACTTCTCAAGCTTAAAAGGGAGGAAGAAGAACTGATGATAGTCTTTCATGCAGTCTGGTATCTGGAGCCCTGATTAGGGAGCAGTAGCTTTCCATTCCTCTTCCTCTGCAGCTTCCAGGACTTTACACCCAGTGCCCTGTGCCCCAGGAGTGCTTGGTGCAGCAGGTTACTCACCTTGGAGGTAACCTCTCCTCTCAGATAAACCTACCCCACACTCTACCAGCACAGGGATGGTTCTTTATAGCACACACAGAGGCCACTGCTCCAAAACCAAGGTTGGATGCAAAACCTGCTAAAATTAGGACTTCTGCCAGCAAAACTTGCTCAGCGTCTCCCAGTTACTTCCATTTATGCTTTCTGTGATTCATGATGGGAGGAAGCACAAGCAGCCGTGTCAAAGGGACTTTCACATGTTTAAGCATCTAAAGGCACCTTACCAAACCCTGCTTCTGCTGGCGTTGCTGAAGGGGTGGGTGCTAGGCAGGGCTGCCTCCTTTTATTCCAGACTTCATCCCTGCAACCAGAGAAATTGGTGGTTCTCTTTATTAAGTTCAAAATCCTGAACTTGAGCTAGAGAAACTGAAGGTGAGCCCTGTGTCATAAATGATAACTGGATGTAGTTCATCATTCTGCTGAATGTGGGAGACACACAGGATGTACTTCAGGGATCCTCCCAGCTCATGAGGAAGCACAAACCTGGTTGTGCCCTCACACAGCCTGTGCAGTGCCCTGGCAGAGACCCTGGGACTCCTGAGCATCCTCTCCAAGACAAGCCACACGTGACTGGTTATTTGATGTGGGTGATCATTTGAGTACAATCCATGTCCCTGGTTGAGAAACACCAGCCAGACTAAAGTATGAGCTGAGCTAACTCAGCACCAAAGCGACTGAGCAAATATTCACTTGATTCCATCAATAGGGTGACTTTGAGGCTGACTTCTGCACCAGTACGCTTATTTAATTAATCTTTAGGCTTCAAGTCAAAGCAGTAGTAGCTGTGTCAGCCCTAGCTTCCCCAAATCCTTCCCTCTGCATATTGGCCCAGAGTAGTTTCTGTTCAAAGCAAAAACAATTCTTACTTGGCTTTTTCTCTGTGATTTTCTTACTTTGCGTGTGACTGGGGATCTTTCTGCTGATCATTCCACTTGCTCTTTACCTATTGCCCATTTAATGTACAACAACACAGGCTGTAAAAGCAATAAAGCAGTGATTCCTTTTGAATGAACTTGCCAGTGCTGCTGATATGAATGCTGGTGCTCATGTTACTCCTCAGATTACAGTTTCCAAGACCTGGAGATAAATCTTTCCAGGAGCACTGGTTCTTTGTCGCCTATAAATTCAACTCCTGGAAATCAAAGAATTCTTAACCTAACAGTTTTAACCAGTGTTCCCTTCTCTGTACATTCTATTGGTGTCTTTGAACTCATTCTGTTGGATTTTGCTTGGACACTGGCCTTCTTCTCCACCTAAATGGCTGGAGGAAGCTGTGGCCCAGGTTTCCCAGTCAGGAGGCATCGCTGCACTGGGCAGACACAGCAGTGATGCTGTTTGCTGCTTTAGAAGTGCTGCTGTATTTTATCACAACTGCAGAGTGCTAATTGCTCAGCCATGCATTTGCACACCACAAAATGCAGAGGCTGGCTGGGGCAAATCTGTGTCTTCTTTGGGGTGGCCATGGATAAAGAGCAGATAATGTATGTGGGCTGATAGGCACCACCACTGTCCTTAAGGATGTTCTCTGTGTCAAGTGATAAGGAAGAATTATTTTATATGAGCTTTAAAAGTGACAAGCCTCTCTGCTTCTCATGTTCTGCAAACCCAGAGGAACAGCACCTTGTTCTTCCTTATCTGGTTTTGTGATCAGAAAGACCTTGAATTTTAAGACAGTGTATTAAGAGATTGGTTATTTT